CAACAATACAAACACTTACTTAAAAATTTCATGGACCTTCACTGGAACGTGAATTTTTTGCACAAAATCAAGACTAATACTGAGCAATAGAGAATTGAAAACTGGAGTATAAATTAAAATGATTCAGACAGCTACATTGGTGTAGGGATTGGAAACAAATGAGGAGGAGGATTGCTTCATTTGTACCACGCTCAATAAATCCCATAACGGCCTGCTGTACCTCCATCATGATCCTTTATATTGTCAACCCAGGAAAGCTAGACTTAAATTTCATCCATGCACAATAATTATTATTTATTATTATTATTTTTCACTATTTTTTCAGTGGATTTCCAGAATACCTTGGGTAAAGTATCAGCATCACACATATCTCATCCGCGAGAAATGGTCCAAGTACCCAATAATTACAAAGATTTGGACCAGGTAAAGTAACAGTAATTATAGGGCAAATGTATTATGACAGTAACAGCAATGCTCATTGCTGGAGCTGAGCCGTGACCATGACGGTACTGCGTGTGATGGTTCTGATTACATAAAATAGTAACCTCATGTCTATACTGCTTGGTTGGTTTAAGTGGAATGCCTACCATCATCGGGCTGGAAATTCGTTTGTTAATACTGTAGTAAGAACAGAGTAGGAAACTTTCAATTGACTTGACAAATGGTACACACATCTACCAGAATAAGCAAAAAGAGTGGGAAATGTGAATTACATGTACCTCTATCTGAATGTTAAGTTTTACAAAAACTTTCTGATTGGGTTGACACATACCATTTGTGTGGCAACAGGAATTTCAGGGTTTTTTTCAGGGAAAAGGTATATAAGCACCCCTGTTATCCTTATTTGTTTGTTTGTTTGTTTGGTTGGTCGGTTGTTTGGTTGGTTAAGAAGTCTGAAGCGAGATGACGTTTTACCCCCGACTCTATACCATAATAGTTTTTAAAATTCTTCCATATTAAAATTTTTGATTCCTTACAGAATACAGGAACAATAGTCATAATTAAAGAACAAAAGCAATGTGAAAAGGATTATGGTCTATAGACAGGGGTAAAACGTCATCTCGCTTCAAGCTTATTGATTGGTTATTTGGTGAGGTGGTCATTAATTTATTGATCCATTTATTTCTTGGCTGGTGGACTGGTTGATCGGCCAGTATTTTCTACCCTAACTAGCTTCATTTCTTAACTCTGTTACTGATTCATTGACGTACCCCTTTTTTTTCCCCTTTTTCCCCCTTTTTAAGGAAAAAGGAACCCAAGGTTCTTCAATTAAAGAGACAAGACGTCGCCGCCGGATCATGATAGTCATAGATAAAGTATGTACATCATGTACATTAAATTAACGATATAATCTAAAAAATATCTAATGGGTTAAAGGATGGCTTAATGCCTAACAGGCCTTGCGAATCGAATTAGAATTTAGAAGTTGATTTTTGTGGAGGGAGGAAAAACCAGAGAAATCAGAGGAAAAACCCTTGAGCACAGGAGAGAACTAACAAACAACTTGCTGCTCACATACGAGACCGGGGGAGCTTGAACCCGGGTCGCATTGGTGAGAGGGGGTGCATCACCGTGTTACCCAAATGCACATAATGCACAGACTGAGGAGCAGCATCTTGAGTTACATGGGCTGCAGAAACACAGAAAACATTGCTTAGCATTCTAATAAGATTTCATTCTCTTTTTTTTTCTAGGCATATGATATTCAACTCCAACTTGATGATCTTGATAGCAAGCTCCTAGAGTCTCCTGCTGAGCAAAGGTGAGAGGGGTTACTCTTTCAGGGGTTGGGGGAGAATCAGAGAAAAATCCTCAAAGTGGAGAATAATACATTAAACAAACACATGCATGCATGCAGTTTAGTTTGCAGTCCTAAACTAATGTATACTGTAGCAATGAGAGCCAGTACTGCAACAGCGCATGAATTACTGTAACTTGTTTGAAGTTTGTTTTTGAGGTCAGGGTTTTTATTAAGTTTTGAAATAATAGGAGAACATCATGGAATGCTTTTACAGTGTGAATCTAAAAACCGTGGGAACCTAGAAATATTTCAAGAATGTTCAATAGCCAATCAGAAGCGTTATTGTTATCTTTCCGTTATCTTGTGGTTAGAAAATCAATTCTAATTGGCCAAAGAAGAATAGAACATTTCTAGAATATTTCTAGGTGCCAACAGTTTTTTGATTCGCACTGTAAGTCCAGGGGACAAAGTGAACATTTATCAAATTACTAAGCTATTATTGTTACTTTTGATGAAAACCGTGTGAGGTGGTAGCAACATTTTGCGCAGACATGGGTGGGGGAAGGGGGTAACTTTTGCATTATCATTCTAATATAGTCAAGGGGAAATATTTTGAATATTTCATTAATTGTTTTCCAGTAATAGTATAATGGAGGCAAAGCAGGATAAGGTAGACAAACTTTTCCAGTTACTGAAGTTGAACGCACAAGACGAGTTGTCCAATAAGTAAGTATTTTTTAGATTCAACTGAGCCTCTATCTACGTACACCAAATATAAAAAATCACTGTTGTGTTCAAAATAATAAAACATGGATTCAGGCAAGATTTACTTCAAGGCTGGTAACAACGTTCATGACGAGGATCCTGCAAAATTGGGCTGGAAAAAGAAAATTAAAAAAAATGGCCAGAATTTTTTTTTTTTTTTTTTGGCAGGACAGATCATTCTGGTGGACCAAAACTTTCCCTGCCATATTATTTTCCATTTGGCTGTTCAAAATTTCTTGAGCCTGCCGCCAGTAATAAAACTTGGCCTGCCCTTTTGGCTGCTATTTCGAGCCCTAAAGTTGACCAATCAATCCAACCTATCGTCATACTAACTGCATATCTCATTTTGACAGTGATGCAGAGTTAATCATTCAAGTGATGTCTGTTCGCAAAGGAAAAGTCCTTATCAGTCGACTACTACATTACTTCAAACAGGTATTGATCAAGCGTTGTTCTCTCTCTCATGCTATGAGGGTTTTATCCGGGTTTTCAGGTTTCCTCCCGTCTTAAAACTCAACATCGTATACGGCGAGTCGAGCGTTGTGTGCATAGTATATTGAACGTAGTGGTAGTTTGTGAGTGAAAAGAGTCCCCGATTAGTGCGAAAGCGCTAGAACGACTAGACACTCAAATGAAGATATGGATCAAATCAGAAAATATAAATGCAGGTCCGTCGCTATTGTTGGTTTGTTGGTACGAAGGACACGCCGTCCAATCTCGTACCCAGAGCCTGCGTTTCTTCTGGCCTGCGGCGAAGAACGAGGGCTCTGGCATAATCCATATTTTGGCGCATGCGCAATTTTCGGAAAGTGAGATATAAACGGTCAAAATAAGCAAATTTGGTGGTTGGTGGCTGGATAAACGTTCTAGGATCTTTCTCCACCGTTTTACCTCAGTCTCTTATCGTCCTCTTACGACGTACATGTATTTACGCTACAGGCCCAGGCAGAAGCTATTTTGCAGTCAATTTGTAGAAACATTGTCATGGTGATAAAGAAAGACAACCAAGATGAGGTATGGCCTTTTTTAGACCTTTTCCGAAGGATCAAGCAAATATAGTGGATTGAATTGTTTAAAGATCGATTATTTTCCGGCTTTATACCGTTGGTTCCCTCATTTCATTCGTTTTGGATATTATAATTTAATTACCGAGCGAGATGCCACCTATGAGGAATAGACCCTTTTCGAGTTCCAAATTACCGCTGTGTTTCTTGATTGCGGACTCATTTACTTATCTTCGATTTTGTGAAGAATAATCACGTTTTCCAGTCAAGGTCCGTCAAGTTTCAAAGTGTTCGTATTGTTGAACTTGTGCATTCTTTACTTTACCGTTGGTGTTTGCGAGTAATTAGACGTTGATTCGAGGCTAAGCCTGAGTAAATGAGTCTGTAATCAAGGAACACAGCGGTAATTTGGAACTCGAAAAGGGTCTTTTGAAATCTGTGGAAATCGAGTGTGGCCGGTAGCTACAGCTGTAGAGTACGTTCGCCTCTCACTTGTGGGGTCTCAGAATCGGTTCCTAGACTCGACATCACATGTGAGTAGAGTTTTTAGGTATCTCCCTTGATTAGACGGGTTTTTTACTTTCCGGTTCTTCTCCCTAAAAACCTATTACGCTAAATTCCATTTCGATCTGTGAGTTAGCGGCGTGCCCTGACTTAGATCAGCCCAGAGGTTGCTTCAGGGTTCAATCTGTGAGTTAGCCATGCCCTGACTTAGATCAGCCCAGAGGTTGTTTCAGGGTTCGATCTGTGAGTTAGCCGTGCCCTGACTTAGATCAGCCCAGAGGTTGTTTCAGGGTTCAATCTGTGAGTTAGCCGTGCCCTGACTAAGATCAGCCCAGAGGTTGTTTCAGGGTATCGATCAATAAGTTAGCCTTGCCCTGACTTAGATCAGCCCAGAGGTTGTT